AAAAAACAACTCCATTTCTTAGGCTCCAAGTCTATGCGATTGAAGGGCACAGAAATGTGCAAACATGTTCCTAAAGGCTTGATGCTGTGTAACTGTAGGCCCCTCTTCCCCGGAGCTAATCTTTATTGTGAGTTCACCAAGTTCCAGGCATTGTGCTGATTTTCAGGCATTATCTCATTTGATCCACCCCCAAACTCCAGAATGATCTTTGAAACAGAAGTTAGATATGACATTTCTCAGCACAAAACTCTCCAGTGGCTTTCTGTCTCATTCAGAGGAAAAGTCAAGTCCCTACTGTCAGCCGTCGTGAAGCCCCATGAGCTCTCCGATCACGTTTTCTGGAGAGCCGTCTTTCAGTCCTGCACTCTAGCTAGCCTTGCTGTTCCTCTCACTTGTCCACCAACTCCGCTCTTCTCCTAATGCTTATCTTCTTAACTCTCAAATGTCCTCTTCTCAGTGAGAAGACGGCTGCCCAATGTGCACTGTACCCCATCTCCACCCTGTGTCCCATAGGCTGCTCGCATTCTCTTCATTGCACCCTGCTACATTCCACCTGCTACATATTTGTTTATCGTCTCCACCAACTAGAAAGTAGCCGGAGGAGGACAGGACTTTTGCTCATTTCAAATCCCTGGGGACTACAAAAAGGGCGTTTGCAATCAAACATTTTTTAGTAAATAAATGCATTAAAGAATTCTCCTTATCTCCATTTTCCAGTTGAGAAGCGGGTTTAGGGAGGTTAATTAACTCGGATCTTAGAGCCAGTAAGTACAAATAGTACTTACTGGGCTCATCAACTGCTATTCCCAAGTTCAAAATGCCTTTGTGGGAAATATTTTTGCCATGTGCATTCAATTGGGTGTGATTTGACCAAAGCAGGAAGCTGAGATGGAAGAAGATGAAAAAAAAGTCACTGGGGAAGCTGGGTCTGGAACCCACCACGCACACTCATTCTTCCAAACTGACCTATCTTGTGGGTACTGCTCTCCTCACTCTTGACATTGAACAAATTAAATCCTTCATTAAATATATACCATAGCATTAAAGTGCAGGACAGATAACATAAATTTTTCATCCTTTTGAGGAACAATGTGAGGCTGCTTATTTGTAAGTATCTTGGAACTATTTACTAGATGAAATGTTTTTCAAAGGGAAAAGATTATATGAGACAAATCAACCTTAGACACAGTAGTCTGTAAACTCCTAGAGGGTATATACGGTGCTATATTCTCCCTGATTAGCACCAAGAATGACCTATAGTAGGCATTTGATAAATGTTTATTGAATGAATACATATGTTTGGAGATGAAATTTTAGTTTCGTCTGTAAGAGCAAATTTAGATAGTGGCATCTTCTCTGGGCCAGCCAATGACACACAGTTGTACGAAAACAGCGCCAGGGGAGGGTCAGTTACATTTGAAAGAAAGTCACAATCCCAATGGAAAGTTTTACAAATGGAATATATAACTAGTTGCATGGAGTATCCTCAGTTATGAGAGAGAAACCTGGGCGGAATCTGCCACCTCATTGCTGGGAGGAAATATATGTTGTTGGAGTGCATCCTCCAAGCAGCCAGTGAGGAGGTGGGCTGCTTTCTAGCCGTTAAAACATCCCAGGGGCTGGGCACGGTGGCTCACACCTGTAAGCCTAATACTATAGGAGGCCGAGGGGGGCAGATCACTTGAGGTCAGGAATTTGAGACCACGCCTGGCCAATATGGTGAAACCCATCTGTACTAAAAATACAAAAATTAGCCAGGTGTGGTGGTGGGTGCCTGTAATCTCAGCTACTCAGGAGACTGAGGCAAGAGAATCGCTTGAACCCAGGAGGCGGAAGTTGTAGTGGGCTGAGATCATGTCATTGCACTCCAGCCTACGCGAAAGAACGAGACTCTGTCTTAAAAAACTCAAAAATCAAAAACAAACAGAAAAAATTAAAAAAACTAAACTAAAACCATCCCAGAGGAAAGACAAATGGCTGTGATTTACAAACCGGAAAGTTGAATTGGTGGAGCCGTACACAAGCAGTGTAAAAAAATCCCAGTGGAGACTTTTCCTCTGCATAATCCCTTTTTCCTTCCTCATGCAGGCCTCAGAGCTCCGCCACATTCCCCTCAGGGGAGGAGAATGGAGCCCCATTTAGGAACAAAATTTTCACTGTGCCCCTGCTTCCTTGGGTTTGTCTAAGTGTCTGGGATATCAGGAAGGGCCTCTAGGTGTTCAGCACTTTTGGGTCGAGAAACAATCTAATTGCTGAAGGCAAGCCTTCAAAGTGGACAGCCATCCAGATGACATTCTAGAATCTTCCAGCTGACATGGCAACTCAGGGAACCTCTACCTGAGTGAGCACGGGACTTCGTGACTAGCTTCCAATGAACACAATATGGCAAAAGTGATGGGATGTTATTTCAACGATCAGGTCACAAAAGACTATAACTTTCACCTTGCTAGCAGACTCTCTTTCTTACCAGCTTTCATGGAGCAAGCTGCCAGTTTGGGAAGCCCAAGTGGCAAGAAATTGAGGGTGTCCATCAGCCAACTGCCAGCAGGGAACTGGGACCCTCGGTCCAAAAGCCCATGAAAAAACGGAATCCTGCCAACAATCACTAAGTAAAGTTGGAAACACCATGCCTCAGTTGAACCTTGTGATGACCTGGCCAGTATTTTGGTTGCGTCCATGGGAGAGGCCCTGAGCTGCAAGATCTAGCCAAGCCATACTCAGATTACACAGAAACTGTCACATAATAAATATGTATTTTGTTTTAGATGGAGTTTCACTCTTGTTACCCAGGCTGGAGTGTAATGGCACTATCTTGGCTCACCGCAACCTCCGCCTCCTGGGTTCAAGCAATTCTCCTGCCTCAGCTTCCTGAATAGCTGGGACTATAGGCGTGCACCACCATGCCCAGCTAATTTTTTTTTGTATTTTTAGTAGAGACGGGGTTTCACCATGTTGATCAGGATGGCCTTGATCTCTTGACCTTGTGATCCACCCACCTCGGCCTCCCAAAGTGCTGGGTCACCACGCCCAGCCAAATAAATATGTATTGTTTTAAGCTGCCAACATTTGTGTGTGGTGGGGGCGGGCAATTTGTTACAAAGCAATAGATAATACAATATATTAAAAATGTAATGAAAACTCAGTGGGATACACACGCAAAGAGTCATGTTAAAAGTGTCCAAAGCTTGGAGTCATAGGATACTTAGAGTAAGTACTCGCTGGAGGAGAAGTATGGGATCTTACTTCACAATGCAAAGCTGTTCATGCTCTTCCAACCTCCACTCCCACTGTAGCTGCCCATTTATCCACTGGATAAAGCATAAGTTCCTTAGTCTAGCAACAAGGTCTGACATCATGTGGCCTCAGCCTATTTCTCCAATTTTGTCTCCTACTTTCCTACCGCTTACACTCCATCTTTAAGTCATACCATCCTACATGTACTTGCCCCAAATGCTCTATACTTTTCCCTCTGTCCATACTGCTCCCTCTGCCTAGAATACCTTCCTGTACAGGTTCAGTTACATGTTTCCTTGGTGCTCTGTAGACTCCATTTAAATCCCTACATTGCCTTCTCACTCTCTTTTATCACCTGTCCATGTGTCCCATATAACTTTTGGTTTCTTTGCTGAGTATCCCTCTAGCTTTAAGCTCCACATTGAGCCTCTTCTTCAACTTGGGATCCTCAGAGCTAGTTCGCCATCTGGCAAATCACTTCAGTCAACAACTTATGAAAGAATAACCATGGGATGGACCTGCCAGGAGGAGACACAATTACTTATTGGCTTAACTGTAATTTATGCCATGCTATTGAAATCATAGGCAGTGTACAATAAAAGGAGCTACATTCAGAAGGTTAGTAGCACACACAATTAAAAGCCATATAGAAAGATGAAAAAGCAAATCTGCCAAACAGTAGGCATATTTGTCACAATGGAGGATGGCATTTCATCCTAAGTCTGCCATCAGACAAGCAAGAACCTTGCAATTGGGTTCCTCTTCAAAATTCCTCCGCTAAGACAAAAGAAAGGCTTCCGCACAGTTTTTCAAAATTATTCAGGTTTTCATCCTATATATTGGCTTTACTCACCTTCCTGGTGTATCAAATCAATTCAAAGAGAAAGAGGAGAGGATTTTAAATGAATATCTTATTTTTATGCCCTTCAAGAAATCTGCCTTCCTCCCCATTTGTTACCAACTAAAATTGACAAACTGACCCAGAGTTAAATCAACTTAGGGATCACTCAAGGAGCAAAACCAACCACCTTTTTCATAAAGAAATGTTCAGAGAAGAAGGTAGCAATTACACTTTATCAGTGAAAATGTCTTTCTTACAAAGTATACTCATTACGTGGAAAGTTTGATGATCCTTTTACTTTAAATCAGAGGTAACTTAGCATGGATGCCCTTCATTTTGAAGAAAGAGAAAATATTTGATGATTTGATGATTCATCAAAAATTTGTTTCTATGAAACAGGCTTACTGTTTTGAGGGATTTCAATGCAAAATTCATAATCAGCCTTGGAAAAGAAATGTCTTATATCCTATAAAACTGGGATGGCTTAAAAAGTTCTATTCCTGCTCAGTCAACTTACTGAAAATTATCATCATCTTTGACCTACAGAAAGGAATATATCCAGAACCTAAGATAAAATCTGTTTCTTTAGGTCAAAAATCAACTCTGCAATCAAGGTTGTGGAGAGTCCTTGCAGAGTAGATGACTTTGAGTTTTATAAATTGGTTAGGTGTAGGGACATGATCAATAGTTCGATGATTTGACTAAAATGTGCTGAAAAACAACCTGTAGGGAGGATTTGTATAACTCTGCACAAACATTCTTGAACCTGAAAATCCAAACTGAGTTATATTGAGACTAACAAACTTAATATATGCCACCAAAGGAGAAGGCTGTATCATCTCAAGGAAATAATTTTTGACCATGGTTAGTAAGTATGTAGGAAATGATGCATTCATTGAAATGTAAAACTGGCAGTAGGCTTACGATGGCAATGGGCAGTGCCAGCAGTGGCTGTGGCATCCTGGAGCAGGAGGATTTGGTGTGGTTCTAGTGTGGCACAGGCCAGAGTGATGATTCTGACATTTGGGATGCTACAGCACTGCTAAAAGTGGATGATAAAGCCGTGGCTTCATTTAAACCATGCTCTAAAGAATGGTAATATTTGTGAAACTTCAGATAAATCAAAATGTATGCCTAATAGAAAGCCTTCTAAGAAGAATAAAAGCCCCCCCCCCCAAAAAAAAAAAGAATACTGCAACTTTCTTGAAGTAGTGAAAAGTTGGGCACAAATGTTTTGCCATTTGGTCAGAAGACAGTGGCATTTACCCAGCTACCATTGCTTCTGTTGATCTGAAGAGAGGAAGCTGTGTTGTGGTTTACACTGGATATAGAAGTAGGAGCTAATCTGTGTGATCTAGTTTCTTCAACCTCTGTAGCTAATATAGGACAGAATGCTCAAGAGAATGAAAACGAAAGTCAAGATTCAGTGGAGGAAAGTGAGAACTCCAGATCCTGGAAACAAATCATGTAGTATCAGGTCAAAAGCTACTCCATGGAATTCTTTTCTCCCTCCACCAAACCCCATGCCAGCATCAGGACTGGGACCAGGAAAGCCAGGTCAGATCTAAAATTCAATAGCCCACCATCCATACCACCCTACTTCCTATCATGCCGGCTGCCTCCATTTCCTTCTGGACCACGAATAATCCCCCCACCACCTCTCACATGACTAGATTTTCTTGATGATGATAATACTTTAGGAAGTATGTTAATCTCTTGGTACATGAGTGGCTATCATTCTGGCTACTATACAGGGTATGGAAAATCAAAAAGAAGGAAGGTGCTCACATTCCGATTAATGAGTAAATATGCCATTATTATGAAAGTGAATCTTACTTTTGCAAAATTTTACGGTTTGTGGAAAACAAATATTTTTGAATATTTTAAAAACTAAAATGTTAAAAAGTTAAAAGTATTAAACATATTTTGATGCCAAAACTATTAGATAAAAGATTGAGCTACATCCCTACTAGAATTCTCATGGTATCAAACTATCACCTCACCAAAACTTACTGGTTGGTTGTGTGGAAAAACTATACTTTTACAATAAAGAGTTCCTTAGGCTCTGTTGACATTTTACATCACTATTAGTCAGAAAACCAGACATGTTTTCTGATCTGTGTTGCAGTATGACCTACACATATTGCACTGTACCCTCTCTGACCTATGAAGTGCTCTGGTCAAAAAAGATTAACTGAAATTTAGTCAAGCCTTTAGATCTAATTTCTTGTTTGCAGGAGATGCTGGGGATAGAGTAACAAGTTAAAAGATACCACTAAAGAAACAATCAGACAGAACCAGAATGCAGAATGTTATAGAAAGTAACTGGCCCCATTACTTCAAAATATCAGTGTTGCCAAAAAAAAAAAAAAAAAAAAAAAAAAAAAAAGGACGTGGAATGGATAACTCTTCTAAATTAAGTTACTTAAGAGACATCATAACCTAATGTAATGTGGAATCTTTGACTGGACCTTGGTGAAAAGTCATCTATAAAGAAAACAGGGGCTAAGGGGGCTGAGAAATTTTGAATATGGACTAGACTTTGAATGATATTAGATCATTATTACTAATTTTATGAGCTGTGAGAAGGATGAAGTTTATAAAATAATATCTTAATTTCCATACTAAATTCTTTAGGAATGAGGTGCTATAATGTCCCTTAAAATGTTTTAAAATGGTTTTGCAAAATGTGCATGAAGCATATTTGACAAAATGGTAATGAATCTAACCGGTGTGTATATGGGTGTTCATTGTGCTATGTCTTCCTATTTTCTATATGTTTAAAAGTATATATTTTTTAAAAATTAAAAAGGCCAAACTCAAACAAAAATAAACAGTTTTCTTCTTATACTAGAATTGTTACAAATTTCATTATGTAAAACTTTAAAAATGTATACTTAGTGTGGGTTATCTGAATCGGGACAGACTAAAGCTTTCAGCGTCAACAGCTGTCTTCCTCAGAGAACGTTCGAGTGGTGCATTCTGATTTATTTTTATCCAGATTGAGTTGCATTTGGTATGACTTTTTCTTATGTACAGTGCTTTAGAAGACTTCATCTTTTCTGATCGATAACTCATCAGACAACCTAACAGGGAACTACATCTACTTTCCAGGCAGCCATCAACACACAGAAAGCCCGAGGAGAATTACTCAGGGACCGCAACATTCTGTGCCATCAGCACATAACCTTGTCCTTTGTACACTCTCAACCCAGCCTCATGAATACTGGCCACAAGGGAAAATCAGCCAAATGCTAGAACCGAGAATGGATTTACGGGTTAGTGTGCTCTAAGTAAGCAAAGACACAGTTCTTTGCCTCCACTACAAAGTGTTTCCTACACTCCCAGGTAAGAATTACCTGAAGCATGTGTTAAGCCTGCAGTGACACAGCCCCCAGAGTCTAGGTCAGAAAACCTGGAATGAACACGGCCCTCAGGAATCTCTATTTGTGACAAGGAAAACAGTATCCTGATAGCTAAAAAGGCCGCAAAATTGTTGCTAGGATGGCAGCCTCCAAACATAGCTGCATGCTAGAATCACCACAGGAATGTTCATAATTTAGGAAGCCTAGGGCTTACTGAATAAGGATCCCTGGCATTGGGAGCCAGGACTTTATTTTTTACACTCCCACCTTGACTACGCAGTAGAATAATCTGGGGAACATTTGAAAATACCAGGATCCAAAGCTTCATGCAAAGCAATGACTCAGAACCTCTCGAAGAGGAGTAGTTTACAAAAGCTCCTTAGGTGATGAAACCAGACCACAGCTCAGCATATGAGAAACACCAAATTCAGTGGTTTAAGATGAAGTGAAGCTGGAGTCATCAGCTTTTAATCTTTATTCATCCAACCAGAGTAGCACAAAGCGACTATACATTGACTTTGGGGCACACATGGCTGGGCTGGTGCTCCAGGCTGCTCCCTGTGCATAGCTTTAAGTTGAACCATTGATTCAGGTCTCTCTAAAAAGCCTGTGAAATTCAGATCAAATTAAAAAGGGTCCCATCTGTAATGGGATTAAGGAAGCTGGGACCCCAGAAAGGCTGTTCAGTCTGTCTGCCAGTTAAGGATTTCCATATAGCTTCAAAGAAGTTCTAACCACATGATGACATTATTGCTCAGGAGTGAAGAGATTCTATCACCAGCAGAATGAAAAGGAAATACTCCAGACACAGCAGCTACATTTTCACAAGATCCTCAGGATAGTGGTCCTCACGTGGCAGGCACTCAGTAAATATCTCATGAATGACTCCCATTACTATGGGTAAAACCCGAGTCTTTTTTAAGATGTCTCACTGTGGATTTGTCCCCAACTTCTGAAGAAAGAGCCACCACGGTCATCATCATGAATTATGATACAATGAACAACTAGAACTAGTAGCAAACTGCTTTAATTTTAATGTAGGTCAAATAAGTTTTGTTTAGATATTTAAAAAGTCTTTACTTAAACATTCCAAAAGATGGGGATTTCAAAACTGGCACCTCCCCATCTGTAGGGTATAATAATTGTTCCCCAAAATGACCACATTCTAGTCCCTAGAACCTGTAAATATGTTACCGTACCTGGCAAATGAGCAAAGTTGAGGGAAATTGTTCCTAGATTATCTGGGTGGTCCCAAGGTAATTCAAGTTTCATTAGAAGAAGAAAGAAAGGCTGTGTGCATGGTAGCACATGCCTGCAATCCCAACACTTTGGAAGGCCAAGGTAGGAGAAGGGCTTGAGGCCAGAAGTTCAAGACCAGCTTGGGCAACATGGCAAGACCCTATAGCTACAAACAATGAATTAGCAGGGTATGCTGATGCATGTTTACAGTCCCAGCTGCTAGGAAGAAGGCTGAGGTGGGAGGATTGCTTGAGCCCGGGAGGTCGACACTGCAGTGGGCCATGATCATGCCACTGCACTCTAGCCTAGGTGACAGAGCAAAACCCTGCCCCAGGAAAAACAAAAAAGCAAAAAACCAAAAAACCATGATGGAAGACAGACACAGTTCAGAGTCAGGGAGAAAATGAAATAAATGATATTTCTAGCTTTGAAGTTAGAGGAAGGGGGCACGAGCCAAGGAATGCAGGTAGCCTGTAGAACAGGCGTCCCCAAACTTTTTACACAGGGGGCCAGTTCACTGTCCCTCAGACCGTTGGAGGGCCGCCACACACTGTGCTCCTCTCACTGACCACCAATGAAAGAGGTGGCTCTTCCTGAAGTGCGGCGGGGGGCCGGATAAATGGCCTCAGGGGGCCACATGCGGCCCGTGGGCCGTAGTTTGGGGACACCTGCTCTAGAAGATGAAACAGGTAGAGAAATGGATTCTGCCGCTCCCGACCCCCACCACCCTGGAAAAGCTACTGGAATAAATGCAGCCTTGTTGACAGTTTGATTTTAGCCCAGTGAAACTCGCTTAACACTTCTGACCCCTGAAGTTGCAAGATAATAAATTGTTGTTATTTTAAGCCGCAAACTTCATGGCAATTTGTTACAAAAACAATAGGAAACTAACACATCACACAATATTTAAGAGAAAAAATAATTAGAAGAATAATGACTAAGTTAGCATTTCAACATCGCAAAAGGGGCTATATTTGCATCCTCTATAAGATGATGTGGCTAGCCACATCCCTTCAAAACTGTGGTGTGACTTTTAAGAGTATAATGCTGAAATAAAGGTTACTGAGGTGCTTGCTAAAAATCAGATCACAGACTATAAAATAACAATGAACATTTCTATGTGGTATATGTGCCTTAAGAAAAAGTGACATCATTAACGTCTTGTACACAGTAAATAAATAAGTAGAGCGTCTGGCTAACCAAGATCACAACTTGGGCTTACTCCAGGTGAATGCCCAACACTCTCAAGAGAATGGCTTCCCACGCAAATACCACTCACCGAAGTGGTAAACCACTGCTGTGTAAAGATGACAGTCATGCTCATACTGTATACCCACCCTTCTCCAGAAGGCACTATGCAACCATGTTCGAAAGGGCATGCTCTCACGCTGTCCTTCCTGTGACCCAGGACACCATTCATGACATGTTTGTGTAGGCTCGGGAAATGTGTAGTCATGCAAGGGGGCAAACCAGTTAGTTTACAAGAGGTTTGAACCTGGGACCTCAGCTTCACCTGTGTTCCCTCGAGCAGAACTCATCAAGTAGAAATGTGTTCAACTCTATCTGTTCTATGTGGCCTGGCTCTGAGGCAAGAGAATTCATTCCCTTCATTCCCATGGGCTGAAAACAGCTTTGAAGGAGCAGCAGTCGGTCACATACCTGATGACTGCCCTGCAAGAATGTGCACCTGAGGAAGGGCAATGATCATGGCTGTTTGTATAGTGGGCACATCAAAACAGGCTGAAGACACTTGGGGTTGAATGGCAAACAGCACCAGTGTAATCCTACATATTTTTGCAAAATTCCCCACCAACTAAAGAGAACAGAGAATTCACTGAGAGAATCATCTCATCAGACTCCAACAGCATCATAACTCGCATTTATTAAGCACTTTACTGTGGACCAGGCACAGTGTGCTAAGTGTGTTACAAACATCTAACTTTTACAGTCACCTTAAAACAGAGGTCCATGGTTCATCTCATCTCACAAATGAGAAAAACAAAGTACAGAAAAATATGTTGTTTTAGGGTTATATGGCTAGGAGTGACAGACCTGGCATTCAGAACCAAATTTTTCTGCCTCTAATGTTATATTACTTTTAATATAGTAGGCGAGTAAGACATAATTTTAAGGAAAGAGGCAGCAGAGAATTGGCATCAAGGTAGCAATCTACTTGCAAGCCAAGGAAGGTATTT